AACTCACAGGGCTCATCTTCCAACACTGTTGGACAATATTCTGCTGTGATCCCCACTGCTTTCATTGGCTAATTTTTGGCAGTAGATCACTAGGCCTTTCTTTCTTCCTCTGTTTTAGTCTGGAAGCTCTGCTAACACCTGTATACCTGCTGGTATTTGAAATACTGGTATAGCTTCCAACATCATAGCAGCACACAACCCACCACAATATAACAAACTAACATACACAAAACCGAAAACCAAGCTCACTGCAGTTGAGTCGGATCCGACTCATAGCGACCCCTCCTTGGGGTTCCGAGGTGGTATCACTATGGAAGTAGATTGCTTAACCTTCCCTCTGAGGAGTGGCTGATGGGTTTGGACTGCCAGCCTTCTGGTTAGCAGTCAAATGCCTTTAGGCACTATGCTACCAGAGCTCCTAACATACAAGTGAGGGATAATAAAATGAGCTATATATTTTTTTGAGTGTCAACTCTGAAACACTGAGGTAGGCATTTCACATATGTTAGCTCAAAGTTTTACAACAGCACTACAAGATATAGGTTGTTATCCTATTTTTAAAAATTGAAGAATAACCAATCTGTCCAAGGACACACAGCTAGTAGGTGGCAGGGCTGGTATTTGAATTGAGATCTGTTGGACTGCAAAGCCTAGGCTCTTACTATGTCCTCCAGCTTCCTTTAGACCAGTATATTCTAAATCACGTCCTGTGGAACACTGTGCTCCTGAAGATAATAATAGGTGTTACCTGTAAGAATGTCAAATAGTGTTTAGAAATACTGGCATTAAAATGTTAAAAAAGCTTTATGCCTATTAGATATATTATTATGTTATAAATCTCTGCAAGATACAGTATGTACCATTTCTCAAACTCTTTTGAACATAAAATACTTCTTTTCATGAGGTATTAATAGCTCCCAAAAGAGTACTCCGTAGAATGCCATTGTGGGCTATTTGGGTGAAACCCAAAAGCAAAGTATAGCCTTTAACACCCTTATAAGAATAAGTTATTTCTGAAAAACTACAGAATGGAGAGTTTTCATAAGTTGCAAATGTAATTATCATTAATTTGGATGAAAAAAAGAAAATGTGTTTCTGGGTCCCAAAATCAACATGCAGTTATGTTAAAAAAAATAATAAATAATAACATTTCATTAAAATGTGATTTCTTCTGTAGTTAATGTTAGTTCTCAGACTATAATTCAGCAGGGAATTTCCCTTCTTACCTCTGGCCACTGACTGTTTATAGAGCAATGAGCGTGGCAGCCTGTAAACACCAAACCCAGTAGCCTCTCTTTCTTCTCATCTTGTTTACATATTCTGTTGCTTTAAACCCTGAGAACTACCCTATCTTCGTCTTCCTCTGTTCCTTCTCAGAACTTTCCTTCCTTGGTTATGCAGCTTAACTCTGTCCTGAGCTGCTTTCTTTCTGGTCTCTCTTTCTTGTAATTGATGGAGTTCAATTTCTGCCTGCAGCATTTTCCTTTCTTTTCTCCATTTTCTCACTCTTGTTATTGCTTTCCTATTCAGCCTGTGTCTGAGGGCACTTAGACCTTCACTCCCAGTCACCTGAGCTTCCGATGCATATTTCCACCTTAACATGTGACTTGAAAGTCAAGTTCACTAATGTCCAAGACTAAACTCATTATCCTCTCTTGAAGATTCAACCTCAGATCCTGTCCCACCTGTTGCCTTCTCTGAATGTATAAACATCATCATAGTCTGTCTGGTTGCTACTCATGGGACCTGGCTATTAGCCATGTGATTCTGCACCCAATCATCCATATCCTAAGAGTCACCAAAGGCTGTAATTCTCTGTCCTCAATGCTTGTCGTCTCTTCTTGCCAAGATTTCTCTAACCCAGGCTGTCATGTTGTGGGACAATACCTTTACATGAACCTCCTGGTCTTTCCCTCTCCAAGGCATCCTACATATTGCTCTAGAATTGTCTTTCTAAACTGCAGGTCCTATCTTGTCACTGGCTGCCCAATGGCTCCCCAATGATGGCCCCTCAATGTCCACAAAACATAGTTCAGTCTCCTTAGCATGCCGCATAAATGCCTTTAGATAGGTACAGGACCAATACGTTTATTGATTTAAAGTGTATCTACTAGTGAACTAAAAGTTTACAGGAGGATAGCAGATTGAGAAAGAAAAAAAATATGTAGCAACTGGTTAATGTTCTGTTGGCTTCAGAGATTATTGATAGCCACTAAAAGAAGCCCTTTTGGTGCAGTGGTTAAGTATTTGGCTGCTAACTGAAAGGTTGGCGGTTTGAACCCACCAGCTGCTCTTTTGGAGAAAGATGTAACAGCCTGCTTCTGTAAAGATGACAGCTTTGGAAACCCTATGGGGCAGTTCTACTCTACCCTATAAAGTCGCTATTAGTTGGCATTGACTCAATAGCAATTTTTTTTTGAAAATAATTGTCACAAATATTTGAGATATGTGGATTATTTTATAATTCCACTAGCCCTAGGGAATTTATAAATTAGCTGAGCTATGCCTCTGGCCACCCTCCACCTCATCTTTTGGCTCCTTCCTTGTACCTTTCACAATAACCCCTTCCTCTTCTTGGTGTTGCGGTCCCTGGATGGTGCAAGCAGTTATGTGTACAACTACTAACCAAAAGCTTGACAATTCACACCCACCCAGAGGCACCTTGGAAGAAAGGCCTGGTCACCTATTTCCAAAAGATCATAACCTTGAAGACCCTGTGGAGTGCAATTCTACTTTGCAACATACATGGTTGCCATGAGTTAGAATGGACTCAACAACAGCTAGTTTTGCTTTGTTGGTCTTTTATGCCTTGGCATGAATGCATGAATCCACCATAGCTTTCTGCACATCTTCTCAATGTTGGTCACTGTACTGGGCCCTGGGGATACAGCACTGAACACAGGCTAAGATAATTGTAAGTAAAGCTTGGTTAAGGAGGTAGTTTTGGGTGGGGTGGTTATTTTAGATATGGGTATCAGAGAAGATTTCTCTAGAGAATTAATATTTAATCAGGACCCAAATGCTGAGAAGGGGGAAAGAGCATTTCAGACTGAGAGAGAAGCTTGTGCAGATGCCCTGAGGAGGGAAGCAGTTTAGCTCCTTCTAGGAACAGGGAATTGACAGAATACCAATTTAGATGTTTTAACAAAGGAATGTAACACTGGAAGCACTCATTCTTCTATGCCAAGAAATTTGGAAGCTATCTGGCCAACTGACTGGAAGAGATCCATATTTGTGCCCATGCCAAAGAAAGGTGATCCAGCAGAATGCAGAAATCATCAAACAGTATCATTAATATCAGACACAAGTAAAATTTTGATGACGTTGATTCAAAAAATGATTACAGCAGTACATAGACAGGGAACTGCCAGAAATTCAAGATGAATTCAGAAGAGGACTTGAAACAATGGATATCATTGCTGATGTCAGATGGATCTTGGTTGAGAGCAGAGAATACTGGAAGGATGTTTACCTGTGTTTTATTGACTATCCAAAGGCATTCATCTGTGTGAATCATAACAAATTATAGATAATATTATGAAGAATGGGGATTCTAGAACACTTAATTGTGCTCGTGTAGAACCTGTACACAGACCAAGAGGCAGTCAGTAGAACAGAACAAGGGATACTATGAGGTTTAAAATTAGGAAAGATGTGTGTCAGGGTTTTATCCTTTCACCGTACTTAATCCATTTGTATGCTGAGCAAACAATCTGAGAAGCTGGACTATATGAAGAAGAACCCAGCACCAGGATTGGAGGAAGATTCATTAACAACCTGTGATATGCAGACAGCACAACCTTGCTTGCTGAAAGGGAAGAGGACTTGGAGCACTTAATGATGAAGGTCAAAGACTACAGCCTTCAGTATGGATTACATCTCAGCATAAAGAAAACAAAAATTTTCACAACTGGACCAATAAGCAACATCATGATAAATGGAGAAAAGATTGAAGTTATCCAGGATTTCGTTTTACTTGCTTCCACAATCAAAGCCCATGGAAGCAGTAGTCAAGAAATTAGACAACATACTGCACTGGGCAAATCTGCCACAAAAGACCTCTTTAAAATGTTCAAAAAAAAAAGATATCATCTTGAGACTAAGGTGTGCCTGACCCAGGCCATAGTATTTCCAAAAGAGCACTCTGGCTTTCCTCTGGAGAATGGAGTGTACAGAGGCAAAGAGGGAGTGAGGTGGTGAGTGAAAGGCAGAGTTCTGGTGAGAGAAGAGGAAGACTTGAACTGGGTGGTGGGAGGGAGGTGGTGAGAAGTGGCTGGATTCCAAGGTGACAACACCTTTTGTTATCCTGAGCACCTCTTGTTTTTCATCAACAGTCAATCTAGGGATTTATTCTGTAAAAGAGTTAATCATAGGACAGTACACCAGTGCTCTATACCAGCTAAGATGCACAAGTCCTTCATGTCCTCACAAGGAATGATGCTCAAACGGTGGCATGTTCTAGCATCCAGGCAAGCTAAGAGGCCTTTTTGTACTCTTAAAATCACACCACACCCTGCCCTGAAAAAATCACACACACACTGACCCAGAAAAGTTAGCTTTTGCTTACCAGAGATAAGGGAGAATGTTGCTCACTTTTTGATACCAACTCTATTCTAGGAAGCCAGTGTAGTCATTCATAAATGTTTGTTCCTTTTGAGATCTCAAAGCAGTAGCCTGCATCCTTACTTATTGTCAAAATCAGAACAGATGTGAAGTGATTGTTAAAGGGAGCTGGTGGTGGTGATTACGTGGTATGCCTTGAGCTCCCCTAGGCTGGCAGTACCTTCCTGTTGTTGTTGTTGTTGTTATTATTTAGGTGCCTTTGAGTCTGTTCTGACTCATAACGACCCTGTAGGGTATCCTAGGCTATAAGCTTTATGGGAGCAGATTGCCAGTTCTCTTCTCCTGTAGAACCACTGGTGTGTTAGATATTTCCTGATACAGCATAAATTAAGTGTTTCATTTTTCTCTGTTCCACCTCTTACCTTGTTGGTTTACAGGTTCTTTAAGTGCCCGATGTGACAGCTCTGGCCGATGCAGCTGTAAGCCAGGCGTGACAGGGAACAGATGTGACCAATGTCTGCCAGGCTTCCACATGCTCACTAATGCTGGGTGCACCGCAGACCAGAGATTCTTGTAAGCATCTGCATGTGACTACTGCTGCTAATAATGCTAATTACATTAACATTAGCAACAACTTATGTTTACTGACACTTCATGTATGCAAAAGAGCTCTGGTGGTACAGTTGTTGTTGTTGTCGAGTCGACCCCGACTCATAGCGACCCCTCCTTGGGTTTCCAAAGCAGTATCACTACGGAAGTAGGATTGCCCAACCTTCCTTCCGAGGAGTGGCTGGTGGGTTTGAACCTCCAGCCTTCTGGTGAGCAGTCAAGTGCCTTAGGCACTATGCTACCAGGGCTCCCATTTAGCTGTTAACCATAAGGTCAGTGGTTTGAACCCACCAGCCACTCACTCCATGGAAGAAAGATTGGGCAGTCTTCTTCCATAAAGATTTACAGCCTTTGAAACCCCGTGAGGGTCACCATGAGTCAGAACTGACTCGATGACAGTGAGTTTGGTTTTTTGGTTTTAATGTATCTAACCAACCAACCTCACTGCCATAGAGTCGGATCCGACTCATAGCGACCCTTCCTTGAGTTTCCAAGGTGGTATCTAGATTGCCCAACCTTCCTTCCGAGGAGTGGCTGGTGGGTTTGAACCCCCAGCCTTCTGGTTAGCAGTCAAATGCCTTAGGCACTATGCCACCAGAGCTCCTTTAATGTATGCAAGCACTGTTTTAAGTACTTTACATGGATTGTCTAATTTAATCCTCACAATAACCCTAAGAAATATAGGATTGTTATTATGATCATTTTAGATAAGAAATTTAAGCCACAAGGGGTTAAGTGACTTTCCCAATGGTACTGGTGAGGGATAAGGAGCCCTGGTGGTGCAGTGGTTAAGTTTTCGGCTGTTAAGACAGGTTGGCTTAACCAGCTGCTCCATGGGAGAAAGATGTGGCAGTCAGCTTCCTGTAATGATTACAGCCTTAGAAACCCTATGGGGAAGTTCTACTCTGTCCTACAGGGTCACTGTGAGTCAGAATCAACTTAATGGCAAAGGGTAATGGTGAAGATGAATCTAATATTCAAGCCCAGAGAATTTGGCTCTGGAACCCATGCTCTTGACCTTGATACTTGCCTCCTTTTAGATGAATCAGTATGGAAATAAAGAGCTCTTCAAATTTTAACTTGGTACTCATTGAATTTGGAGTAAAAAAAACAAACAAAACTTCTCTGCATAATCTTATTCCCCTTTGGTTCAGAGCATCCTCTATCCCTCCTCAAATTCTTTGTGGAAGATGATGGAGTATATATTACAAATTACAGAAATCTCTGGAGAGATAGAGCTAGCTTTATTGTGATTGTGGCTTGAGGCAGTGAAGGACCCTGGCAGTTTGGCAGCAGCCTGGCTTGTTTGAACGGGAAGAGTGTGAGATGATGCTGAGAATGTAGATTGGAAGCAAGTCCCAGAGAGGCTGGGGAGCTGATGCTATGGCATAAACAATGCTCATAACTTTTCACCAAGAAGTTCATGGTTATGATGTCTACTACAGAGCAACTGCTCAGCATATGTTGAAGGGCACATGAGAGTGATTGAGAGGATGAATAAGAACTCCATTGTAGTCTTACCCTGATGCAGGGTTCTTTGCATAACAGGGTTGTTGGAGCAGTTTAGAGGAGGAGATTGGCAGTGAAGTCATTAGCTAGAAGGCTACTGGCAAAGGAATCACTTACCATTGCCTGCTTTTCTAGCCATTTTTCCATACGGAAAGAGCCTTCCAGCCATACTTGCATTGCCCCAGTTATCACTGACCCAAATCTCTTACCCTCTGGGCCTTTTCATGGATTGCTATCTAAATAGTCTTCCCTGAAGGAGTATTGATGGTGCAATGGCTAAGTGCTAGACTGCTAACCAAAAGGTCATAGGTTTGAACCCACCCTGTGGCTCCTTAAAGACCTGGCGATCTGCTGCCATAGGGATTATAGCCTAGTAAACCCTATGGAGCAGTTCTACTCTGTCACTTGGGGTCATTATTGAAAATCTGCTATATGGCACCTAACAACAACTGTCTTTCCTGACTCCTTTTGGGTTATCTTCAGAGACCTCCCCTAAAATCAATCTCTTTCAGCAATCCTTTTAAAACATGAAGTAGGTCATATCTCTGCTCTGCTCCCAACCCTCTTTTCACTTCACTTCCCAGTGAGAATGAGGCTGATAGGGCCCTGAGAGATCCTCTCCTGTCCTTTCTAATTCCAGCTCAGCCTCCCACTCCCCTTCTCTTCTTCAAAGGAACCAAGTTTGTCTGCTGTAGAACACCTTTCTTTCCACAGAGCAATGCAGATCTTCACACAACTCCATCTGTACTACATCCACCTCCTCACAGAGGCCTTCCCCAAGCAGCCCCACTACTCTAAGTTCTTACTCTGTTGTTTTTCTTCAGACCTCTTACTTTTCTGTATTTTGTTTTTATTTTTGTTTTTCAGTTTCTCCCACTAGAATTTAAGTACTATTAAGGCTTCGTCTTGTTCACTGCTTTATCCCCCAAAGCCTCAATTGCAAGAGGCAAATAGAGTGTCTACCAGCTCGGCTCTGGTAGCATAGTGCCTAAGGCACTTGACTGCTAACCAGGAGGCTGGCGGTTCAAACCCACCAGCCACTCCTCGGAAGGAAGGTTGGGCAATCCTACTTCTGTAGTGATAACTGCCTCAGAAACCCAAGGATGGGTCGCTAGGAGTCGGGGCCAACTCCATGGCAAATAACAACACAACAACAACCAGCTCGGCTAAACTGGCTTTGTGCTTCACTTCCATTGCTTGTTCATGAATCTGCCCCTGCTACAAGATTTCTAGAGAGCAGAAGCTATTTCCTATCACTCTTAGTATCCTCAGTGTTTAGCATGATGTTGAATACATATTTTTCAAATGGTCCAGAAGAGTAGTGCAAAGGGACTAAGCCAGGAAGAAAGCCAGGGGAATTTAACAGTGTGGATTGGGAGAGGAATTCTGGCTGGAAGCCTTATAGAACTTGGCATTTGATTGGATGGGAAACATGATGGTACCTGTTACTGAGTGTGATTTGGGTGGGGTCATAGAGCAGTAACAACAAGATCAGTTAGTAGGGAAAGACAAGCTTGATTTTAGACACAAGATAGATATACATGATTGTGTGCCAAAATGAGTGACAGAGACCCGTGCTACTCAAAGCACTGGCCTTCACAGGACAGTGGGCCAAGGAGATTGTGCCAGAATGAAATGAAAGCACTAGTTACTTCATTAAGAAAGTCTTCCTACACACACACACACACACACACACACGAGTATCAACCAAACCCAGCAATTCCACTCCTAGGTATATACCCAAGAAGCAAAAACATACAAGTACATAAAACTTCATATACAAATGTTCATGGTACCATTATTAAATAACAATAATAGCTAAGACATGGAAAAATCCAAAATGTCCACCAGCTGATGCATAGATATGCAAAATGTGATATATACATACAACAAAATGTTATTTAGCCATAAAACTGAATGAAGTACTAACAGATGCTATAATGAGGATAAATCTCAAAAACACTATACTGAGTGAAAGAAGACAGACACAGAAGGTCACATATTATATGATTCTACTCATATGAATCGTCCAGAATAGACAAATCCATAAAGGCAGAAAGTACATTAGTGGTTGCCTGGAGTTGAGAAGTTGAGGTGGTAGGAATAGCTACTGGGTGTATGGTTTCTTTTTGAGGTGATGAGCATGTTGTAAAATCGGTAACGATGACACCGCACAACTCTGTCGAAACACTAAGAACCATTGAATAGTACATTCAAATCGATAAAATACATGGCATGTGAATTATCTCATTAAAAGTATTTTGAAAAAACTAAATGAAATAAAACAGCAAGTAGATGAAATCAATCTTGATAAAATTAGATATTGAATTAAATAATAGAGAAACAAATGATAATTTTTTAAAAAAATGTCAATTGAACCAGTTAAATAAGTTGAACAATTTAATGATAGACTTGCCTTTCCAATATGGTGCAAACTCCTCCTCTCTCTCAGTGTGGGTAATAAACAGTCCATGGATTGGGCCAGCTCGTAGACCACACTTTGAGAAGCACTAGCATAGATAATTTAGTGCTCAAAGAATCCAAGCGAGATCAGTATGGACAAACAGAGCTAGAAAGGCCGCACTGAAGAAGAAATATTTGCTCACTTTGGTGACATTTGCTATGAGCAGTTGATTTTTATGTGTATAGTTGCAGAGCATTTGTAAATATGTTCCTAACTCTTTTTTTTTTTCCCTTTCCCAGAGACTCCAAGTGTGACTGTGATCCAGCTGGCATCGTGGGGCCCTGTGACAACAGCCGTTGTGTCTGCAAACCAGCTGTTACTGGAGAACGCTGCGATAGGTCTGTGACCTATGGCCCTACAGACATAACGGGGAGAGTCTCTTGTCAATTAGCAAGACAATTAATCCTCTGAGTAGAATTATGGAAAAGATATACTAGTAAACATTGAAGGGCTTCTTCCTGCTATCTCTCCTCAAAAACTAGGCTTTGAAAAAAAAATTGAACCCCTAAATCTCATTGGATTCCGTAATTCTGCTCTGGGTCCCTTTTCTTTGTTTTTACTGTGGCAGGGCCTCAGTGGTTCCCCTTGCCAGCTGGCTTCGAATTCCAGATGCATAGATACAAGTTGGTATGCAATAATGAGATCACATGAGTGCATTTGGTCCCAGGAAAGGACTGGCTTAATTAATCATGCTGGGAAAATCCTTGTGAGAAGGAATATCAGAGGGTATGGCCATATATAACCATAATATACAAAAAAGGAACCACCCTCGGGTTGGGATGGTGGTAACATGCACACACACGAACTGGGGGACCAAGTAGAGCTCTCTCAGCCCCAAGCCATGTAGGGTAGGTGGAGCCATGAGGAGAGATCCACCCTCAACTGCTGTTGTGGGACATTCCTTAAGTACAAATTGTACTCAGCCTCAAAACTCTTCTCTCCTCTGAGACTGTTGTGTGCAGAGAGCTGTGAAGCCAGCCCCAGAGATTTGGCCTCCTCTTCATTTCCTTAAAAGTAAGAAAGCAGTTCTTTGGCACCTTGCCGATCACTTATACCTGAGCAAAAAAGTGCCAGATACATTCCTAGTTTATGTTTCTAGAAAGTTCTTTGCTGCTGAGGCGAGGGTAGAGAAAAAGCAGGTTGTTATTGTGTTTAAAAAAAAGAAAAAGGAGTCACTTTTTTTAAAGTGAATTTTTATATTTTTAATTCCAAAATATAACACAGAAATAGAGAACAACATAAAAGAAACGTTGTCAGCACCAACAGTGAAAAGTGTTTTTTGTTGGGGGCCGCCAAGTTGACTCCAACTTGTAGCAACCCTATATGACACAGTAGAACTACGCCATTGGGTCTCTCAGGCTATGATCTTTACAAGAGCATATTGCCAGGTCTTTTCCAGAGCAGATGGTGGGTTCCAACTGACAACCTTTTGACCTTTTGGTTGGCAGCAGCTAAATTCTTAACCATTGCACCACTTAGTGAAATTTTAAAAAGCAACCAAACTCACTGCCCCCAAGTTGATTTTGACTCATAACAACCCTACAGGACAGAGTAGAACTGCCCCAACAGAGTTTCCACGGCTATAAATCTTTTCAGGAGAGAGGCTGGTGGGTCCCTACTGCAGAGCTACTGTGCACCAGGGTTCTATGTGAAAATAAATGGACCTCTGCAAAATCATGGCCTGCCTATCCTTCACATGCACCATTTCAATCATAACCCCTCCCTCTTCCTTAGAAGTAACCAGTACCCTGGCTTTTACGACACTTTCTTACTTTTCTTTGTAATTTATTACCAGACAGTATAGACCAAATTACTATTGTTTAGTTTTGCCTGATTCCTGCCCTTTTCCCTCTTCCCCGTTCTCTCCCTTCCCTTCCTCTTTTCTACCTCTTTCCCTCCCTCCCCCTCTCTCCTCTCTCTCTTTCTTGTCTACAAATTTTCTCTCCGCTAAAACCATAGGGATGTTTTCAACCTTTGCTGTACAGAGAGAAAACAATGCTTGCTTATTTAGAACTGTTCCCTGAAGTGTCTACTGTTTGCAGCACACGTTTTTCTGTGCTTTTGCACAATGAATACACCCCTGACATAATGGCCCAATGGTTAAGACCACTTGGTTTATAGGCAGATGTATCTGACTTTGAATATTTTCTCAGCCACGTAGCAGCTTTGTGACCCTGTGCAAGTTTCTTAACCTCTCTGGCCTCAATCCTCCTCATCTTACAAAATTAAAAACAACAGTTTCTATCTCATCTGCATACATAGGGCTGCCATGAGTCAGAATTAACTGGATGGAAGCTAGTAACAATAACAGAGTTGTAGTGAGAATTACAGGGTCACTATGAGTCAGAATCAACTTGATGGCAGGGAATTTTGGTAGTGAAGATTAAATGAAAAAGTATACGTAAGGTATCTCGCACAACATAAATGCAAAATAAATGATAATTCAAATGATACAGAAGGATGTAGTTAACTTGAACAGAGAAAGAACCAGTACTCCTCAGCTCCCCCACCCACTCTCTGTGGTTCCAGCTCCCAGAAGTCATATGTGTGTGTGTGTGTGTGTGTGTACACATTAAGTCCCCAGGTTACAAATGTCCCCATACAGAAACTTAACTCATTCTTACCCTTTAATGTTATGCAAATTTGTTCTCACTAATGTTATGCAAATTTGTTCTCACTTTGAACTGATTGAACCAAGCACTACTTGCAACAAATTCTTCATCACAATCACCTTCACTTTCAGCACATGCAGCTTTTAAATCACTGAAAAGGCTTGGAGCCTTTTCTTGAACTGAAACCAAAACAAAACAAACTCATTGCCATTGAATCAAATTCCATTCATAGCAACCCCTGTTGGGTTTCCAAGACTGTAAATCGTTACAGAAGCAGACCACCTCATCTTTCTCCTGTGGAGCAGCTGGTGGGTTTGAACCACTGACCTTCTGGTTAGCAGCTAAGCCCTTTATCACTGCACCACCAGGGCTCCTTTTCCTTGCACTGATGTAGAGCTAAATAAGAACCATATGCACCTGTTCCAACTTACCTACAAATGTGACTTAAAGACACACTTGGGAATGTATCGTAATCATAACCTGGGGACTGTCTTTAGTAAATGTATCCTCAGAGAAGTCACCACTGGGCTTGCTGGGAGCAGAGGTGGAGTGCCTTCCATTTTCTTTTTCAGAGAGCTTCTAGTTATCTTTCTGCTTTGTCATATCTTCACCTGCCCTTTTCCCCTGTGGGTCAGAACCCAGGTATGAAGGTCAGGGATGGTGATCAAGACCTGTTGTTGTTAGGTGCTCTCAAGTTGGCTCCAACTCACAGCAACCCTGTGTACAACAGAATGAAACACTGCCTGATCCTGTACCATTGCCACAATGCTTGCTATGCTTGAGCCCATTATTGTCTGTTGTTGTTGCTATGTGCCGTCGAGTCGACCCGACTCATAGCGACCCCTCCCCTGGGTTTCCAAGGCAGTATCACTATGGAAGTAGATTGCCCCATCTTCCTTCTGAGGAGTGGCTGGTGGGTTTGAACGACCAGCCTTCTGGTTAGCAGTCAAGTGCCTTAGGCACTACGCTACCAGAGCTCCTCATTGTTGCCTAGTGGTGCTTAAAAAAAAAAGACGTGGTCATTTTGAAAGGTCAGTACACATGAGTGGTCATTGAGGCTAGGGCGTTTGCCTCACCTCTCCTGGCCCCACTTAAGACTTGCTGCAGGACGGATCCAGCCCTTTCCTTCCTTCCCATCTGACCTCCATGTAATTTCTTACCAGGTCCAAGGATGGGTCAGTCCCTATCTTCAGACCACAAAGATAAATGTGACTTTTCTCTACCAGAGGGAGAGAGAATAAATATCCCTCATGTGCCCTCATTTGGGAGGTTATGATTATGAGTAGGATGGGGTATTTTCCTCCACTAGAAATTAAAGAGCTCTAGTGGGAGCTCTGGTAGCATAGTGCCTAAGTCACTTTACTGCTAACCAGAAGGCTGGCAGTTCAAACCCACCAGCCACTCCTCAGAAGGAAGATGGGGCAATCTACTTCCATAGTGATACTGCCTCGGAAACCCAAGGAGGGGTCGCTATGAATCAGGTCCGACTCGACGGCACATAACAACAACAACAAGTGGTGTAGTGCCTAAGGCATTTGACTGCTAACCAGAAGGCTAACAGTTAAAACCATCAGCCACTCCTCGGAAGGAAGACTGGGCAATCTACTTCTGTAGAGATACCACCTTGGAAACCCAAAGAAGGGTTGCTATTAGTTGGAGTTGACTTGACAACAGGATTTTTTTTTTTTTTAATTGGTGGTACAGTGCCTAAGGTATTTGACTGCCAACCAGAAGATTGGTGATTCAAACCCACCAATTGCTCCATGGAAGATGGGGCAATCTACTTCCATAAAGATTTACTGCCTTGGAAACCCAGTAGGTGTCACTATAAGTCAGAATTAACTCGATGGCAGGGGATTTGGTTTGGTTCTGGCAGAAATTAATAGGATCTGGTGGGAGAATGGAGTCCCCAGGTGGAGCAAACCAGCTACTAACCAAAAGGTTAGAGGTTCGAGTCCATCCACAAGTGCCTCAAAAGAAAGGCCTGGTAATCTATGTCTGACAAATCAGCTACTGAAAACCCTATGGAGAAGTTCTATTCTGACATACATGGAGAGTTGACTCAATGGCAATTACTTGGTTTTGGGGGAGAGAGAAAGTAGAAAGAGTCGGAATCAGTTGACAGATTCTCTACATGGAATGAGAAGTAATGTATGACAGTACTCTGATTTCTGAAATGCTGCTGCAGGTGTCGACCAGGTTACTATCATCTGGATGCTGGAAATCCTGAGGGCTGCACCCAGTGTTTCTGCTATGGCCATTCAGCCAGCTGCCACAGTTCTACAGACTACAGCGTCCATACTATCACTTCCACCTTCCATCAAGGTAAAGGGCTCTGTTTCCTAGGTTTTTGTGATCTCACAGGGCTTTGTGCTTACAGACAATCTCCTTCCCATCCACATGATGGGGTCCTCTAGTCAGCTTCATCAACTTTCTTATAGTTTTAATGTACTTTATTTAGTCAGGGCAAAAAATCATACCTAGTATCTTGAAAATAGTATCTTGAAAAGGAACTCTGGTGGCATAGTGCCTAAGGCATTTGACTGCTAACCAGAAGGCTAGTGGTTCAAACCCACCAGCCACTCCTCGGAAGGAAGATGAAGCAATCTACTTCCACAGTGATACCACCTCAGAAACCCAAGGAGGGGTTGCTGTGAGTCAGATCCAACTTGATGGCAGTGAGTTTGGTTTTTGGAGTGTCCTGAAAAAGTTATAGCTAACAGTTTACTCATACCAAAGTATGAGCACCTGAAAAGATAACAGATTTTCATCTCCTTGCTTTTCCCTTCACCAGCTATTTCAAAGCTACAAAAGAATTAGTCATTTTTATTAGGGACTCTATGAAAGTCTTCCCGAAATTCATGCTCACTAATAATAACCACTTTCACATCTATTAAATGAGTTAATTTATGGGATATTAGTTGGCAAGCTACAAAGCACGATAAAAATATTGAGAATTTAGATGATTTTAACTCTTGAGTATCTTTTTTGAACATACTGGACCCTCTCGGTTCCTCAAAGTCATATATAAATACAATAAAAATATATAATACATATATATGTGTATATATATGTATGTATAAATACATATAGAAATATGTATATAAATACCATAAATGTATAAATACAAAAAATACAAATTATAGGCAGTTGAAATGTTTTATCATAAGAGTCAGATTCAAAGAGAGACAGCAAAGCAGGAGGGTGGGGATGCAGATGAGACCCTAGTGGAGAAGTGTTTGGGGGATTTGGGGGATTGTACATGAGTGTGGAAATGGTAAGAAAACCTCACTTCCTATTCACTGCTGAGATTTTTAGGCAGCATGTCTTGTCTTGTTTAAGGGCTTGTCCTGAATGTAGAGTACTTTAATTTGTGTTCCAGATGTTGATGGCTGGAAGGCTGTCCAAAGAAATGGGTCTCCTGCAAAGCTTCAATGGTCCCACCGCCATCGGGACGTGTTTAGCTCAGCACGACGATCAGAACCTATCTATTTTGTAGCTCCAGGTATGTAAGGCATAACCTTTCCTATAGAAGCCAACTTATGAGACAAGGAAACTAGGATAGAATAATGGAAGTAGAAAATGTGAGAATCAAATCACTTAGTGTTCAAGGGAACACTATCTCTAGAAAATAGTTGGGGCTTTAACTCAATATGACAAAGCCACCAAGGCAGAGCACAGTAGAGCAGAACTGAGTGTTTTGTTCAGACTGTGGCCTGGCCTCCTACTTTCATCAAATGAAAGTTTTGAGGTTTCCCACTAAGGATGCTCAGTGGAAATTAAGGACTATGGTTAAATTTGTGGATCTACTTGGAAGCAGAGAAAAATTAAAGTTAATAAGTTGTTTTTTTTTTTTTTTTTTTTTAAGTCAGTGTTATGCATCTAGAAAAGCTTTGGTTAGAATTCTAATACTTTTAATTTCCTTGACTACTATGTGATTTGTGAACAAGTTGTTCTCTTAACCTCTCTGACCATTGGTGCTCTCATCTGCAAAATGGGAATAATAATGTCTTCCTCTGAGAATTATTGCCATCAAATGTGATGACGTTTGTGAAAGTGCTTTGTAAGTTATAAAGCCCTACACAACAAACGGCACTTCTGCTGATATGCCTGGGATATTTATGTATCACTCTGTCATAAAAGCCATGCTATGAATCATCTAATAGGTAGAGTTACCTTATAATGAGGTCATTTTAGCATTTTAGTAACTAACCCTCCTTTATAGTCACTAATGTATAGCTGTTTCCATGTACTGACTCTTCTGGCAGGATAGTCTGAGGCAAGGTGGTGGGTGGGTGTCATAGGACTCCAACAGACAAATTTCCACTAAGCAACAATAGCCAACATTAACACAAATTTCCTCACTATTTGCATCTCCAGTTTCACAACTGATTTCATCTTTTAAAATTCTATTTCACAGCCAAATTCCTTGGGAATCAACAAGTGAGCTATGGGCAAAGCCTGTCCTTTGACTACCGTGTGGACAGGGGAGGCAGACACCCATCTGCCCACGACGTGATCTTGGAAGGTGCAGGTCTACGAATCACAGCTCCCTTGATGCCACTTGGCAAGACTCTGCCTTGTGGGATCACCAAGACTTACACGTTCAGGTAAAGAGAGACCACAGGTGGGTTAAATAGAGCAAACTGTGATCAAGATCTGGGTCCTTTGTGCATTCATTCAATCATCATCCATTTATTCATTCAACAAGCATTTTTTGATCACCTTGTACATGCCAGATGTAGTGTTATGTCCCAAAACAGGACGTGATTCCTGTCCTCAAGCAGCTTTCAGGCTAATGGGAGAGAAGGACAAACAGATATGCAGTGCAGCATGTCAAGTGACAGAAGTAGACAAAACAGAACATGCATAGGAGGTACAACTAACCCACATGGGGATGGTCAAGGAAAGCTTCCTAGGAGACATGACAAATGAGAGTGACAGTTCTCTGAGGAAAGAAAAGAAGGGGAAAGGTTCACAAGGCAAAGTATCATGCTTGATGGAGTTCTGTACATTTAGGAAGTTCCAAGTAGTTGAGCATGAATGGAGCAGGAGTAGGGGAGAGGAATACAATGACAGGTGATGTCAGAGAGGGGGGTTGGTGAGGACATGGGCAGCCTTATGTGTGTCTAGGGAGACTGGACATCATCCTATTGAATGGGGATTTTTGATGGTATGTATAGAGGGGATTGGAATCCTTAGGTGGTGCAAACAGTTAACGTGCTCAGCTGCTAACCAAAGGGTTGGTGGTTCGAGTCCAGAAGCACCTCTGAAGAAAGTCCTAGTGACCTACTTCTGAAAAATCAGCCACTGAAAACCCTCTGGAGCACAGTTCTTCTCTAACACACATGGGGTTACAATGAGTTGGACTAGACTCAACAACAACTGGCTGTTTTTTTGGACAGAGGCATTGGGGAAGACAGGAGTGTGTACTAAGTGCTTGATACTGCATTAGAGGCTGGGGTTTCAAAATGAAGAGATATAGTCTACTAGGAAATATAACGTGTCAAAAAGAAAACATAATACAGTATAGTAATCGCTTCAGTGGCAGTGCATATTCTAGGGGTCTTGGGAGGAGAGGAAAGAGTACCTAACCCTAAGGAATCATTAAAGCATCATATTGGCTGAGAATTGAGATGGACAGGACTTTCCCAGGGAGAAAAATCAGAAAAGGATAGACTACACATGGGAAAGAGTATGTGAAGATGTGTGGAGATGAGGAAAAGCATAATACAGAAGGGAAGAGACAAGCAATTTTTATGACTGGAGTACAGCATATGTAGGGAAGATGGGGAGGTTGGGAGATGAGGTTGACAAGACTGGAAAGGGACCCATTAGAGTGGGCTTTGGATGTCATGTCAGGGTGCTTGTGTCTTGTGCAGGCCTGCATGATGATGGAAAGCAAGATGAGAGATTTTAAGTAGAAAAAGGACAAGATTAGGCGTGAATGCTGGATGGGAATACCATGTTGAGGCAGGGTTGGGTAGGGTCCTTTAATGGACCATTAGAACACATTAACAATGGTTCAAGTTTAAGGTTGGAGTCCTAACCCAAGACAGAGGTAGTGAGAATAGAAAGGAGAAGACACACAAAGTATACACTTATGCTAACCTAACCTAATGCTACTTGTTCTGATGATATCCACACACAGCACTACCGGGAGTACACAGTTGCACCTTCTCAGCTTGGTAAACCTACTCTTTGAGTTTCACTTTCCATGTTCCTCCATTGTATTAAACTTCTCAGAAGCCCAGGTAAAGTCAGTCACCTCTTACATGTTTCAATGTGTTCTGTACATGCATTAGGTATAGTGCTCATTGCACTGTATCATAAGTTGTTTACCCATCTGACCCCCCTGCTGGACTCTAATCACCTCACCCTAGTTGTCTTTGTATCCTCCCACCTAACAGTGTTTGGTACAAACAAGGTATATAGTAAACTTTTGTTTACTGTAAGGGATAGGGTTGTTTTTGGAGGAGATACTCCAGTTAAAAACAAAACACAATTTTAAAAAATGGAGCAGGGACTGGTGAGATGATGAAGTGAGGCACTATGGTGACAATTAGAGAAGATGACAAATATGTGGACAAAGGAGCCCTGGTGGCACAGGAGTTAAATGCTCAGATGCTAACCTAAAGGTCAGTGGTTCAAACTCACCAGGTGCTCTGGGAGAAAGATGTGGCAGTCTGCTTCCATAAGGAACCTTGTAGGGCAGCTCTACTCTGTCCTATCAGGTCACTATGAGTTAGAATTGACTCGATGGCAATAGGTCAGCAAAGGGTGGGTTGTATGTGGACAGCATATACAATGGAGACTTACTTTTTTTTATTGTGGTAAAAATATATATATGTAACAAATATTTGCCAATTCAACAGTTTCTACATATATAATCCAATGGCATTGATTACATGCATCATGTTGTACAACCATCACCACTATCCTCTTCCTAATTATTTCACCTCTATTAACAAAAACTCGGTGCCCCCTAAGCAGTGATTCACCCTACCTCCCGCCCCACCCCTGGTAACCACTAATAATAATTTTCAGTCTTTATACATTTGCCTAGGAAAGTGGCTTTTGAAAGAGTAAATGAAATGTATCCAGATAACAGACAGATCATTTAAACACCAAAAACAAAAATAAATTGTAGCTCTTGAGGATCACAACCACTTGAACTCAAAATATTAAATTTTGTGTGGCCAAAAATAGAAGTGCTCTGTGGTGAGCTGGAACCAGCACTGCTCCAGATGACCTGACCCCTTGCACGAGGCTTTCCTCATCCTCCCTCCTGTTTTGTGGAAGCTCCAAGTTTGTGCCGATGAGAGGGTGTCTCCTGATCCTCTAGACAGGACTGCAGAGGAGTTTAGCTATTCTCACATTCTCAGATGTGATTTGTATCTGGCAGGGATGTGGTAAAAGTTGGATTTTTTAAAGCTTTTGTCTTTAAATTATGCAGATTAAATGAACATCCAGGCAGTAATTGGAGCCCCCAGCTGAGTTATTTTGAGTATCGAAGGTTACTTCGGAACCTCACAGCACTCCGGATCCGAGCTACATATGGAGAATATAGTACGTAACTAAGAGAAATGACGTTCTCTCCTCCTAGGTTTTAATTTAATCTGTTTCAGCTCTCGACTAAGGTGGTGACAGTCTCCAAACAAGCAGATGCACAACTTGATGGTTTTGATTTAGAGAGTTTGATCTAGATTACATTTTTACATTCTAGCAGATGTTAAAAAGGAATGATTTGCTGAAAAGAGGTCAGCACCGATGAATAATGAAGGATGCAACCCTGCTAAAAGTTCAGAGGAATTTCTATAAAGCTGAAAATAATCTACACCAAATGGGCAGGTTTCCTTAGTTAGGAAATGGCATTTAGAACACAACTCTATTTATTCCTGAGTAGGTTTATTTCCTTTTGGGATTATACATGATGTTACCATGTTCAAACATTATCATGTATTTTGTTCATTTCTTTTTTGTTGTTGTTGAGTTTGGCATGCTGGGTCCTCCTAATCCCAATTGGAATTGTTCCTTAAGTTTTTAGCCTCATGTGAAAAGGAAGTATGTCTGATAGACTGAGGAGTTCTGGTGGTGCAGTGGTTAAAGCATTTGGCTGCTAAGTGAAAGGTTGGTAGTTCAAACCCACCAGCCACTCTGAGGGAGAACGATGAGGTGGTCTGCTTCCATAAAGATTTACAGCCTTGGAAACCATATGGGGCAGTTCCACTCTGTTCTATAGGATTGCTATGAGTATGAATTGACTCAGTGGCAATGGGTTTGGTTTGGTTTGGTTGGAGAGACTAAGGCAGGAGGTAGAAAATGTGCTTGCTGACAGTTTGCTTAAACTTTGAGTCCCTGGGTGGTGCAAACAACACCCTCAGCTGCTAACCCAAAGGTTGGAGATTCAAGTTTACCCACAGTCATCTCAAAAGAAAGGCCTGGTGATCTACTTCCGAAAACTCAGCCATTGAAAAACCCTGTGGAGCACAGTTCTCTGACACACATGGGGTTGCCATGAGTTGGAATCTACTCAGAGGCAACTGGTTTTGTTGCTGTTGTTTTAATTGAACATTTACTATGTGCCAGACACATGGTAATATATTCGTTGCCTCACTGATTTTCACAAAATCATAAATAGCAAAAGTACCACATAAATACCACAAAAATCATGGTGGTATCAATTGTAGATACTACTGTTACCTCTCTTCTACAGTCAAGGAAACAGAGCCATGGCGAGATTATATGGCTTGCCCAATTCACACAGCTGGTGATGGTGGAGCTAAACTAACTGTCCTGACTCCAGAGTTTATGTGCTCAGTCATGATGCTGGGCTCCTCTACCTCTCTGTGTGGCATGACAACTGAACACCACTTGTCTTAGGTAGAAAGTTAAGAAAAATAAAATTCAAAGACAACCCTGACTTTAGACCTCCCCATACACTACTTCTAATCTATCCTCTATTTTAGGCACTGGCTACATTGACAACGTGACCCTGGTTTCAGCCCGCCCTGTCTCTGGAGCTCCAGCACCGTGGGTTGAACAATGCATGTGTCCTGTTGGGTACAAGGGTCAGTTCTGCCAGGATTGTGCTTCTGGCTACAAAAGAGATTCCGCCAGGCTGGGGCCTTTTGGCACCTGTATTCCATGTAACTGCCAAGGAGGAGGAGCCTGCGATCCAGACACAGGTGAGTAAAATGACACCTGGACCAGATGGCTGGGGGTACAGCCAGGTGACTGGGGTCTCCTAGGAAAGAGAGCTGAGGAAGAGAGCCTGTACCTGAATTCATGTCAGAAACGGGAAAGGATTAAGGGAAATAGAGCTGGAGTGGGGAAGATGGACATGGTGCTTTATAGTACACTCACCTGTTTGCATTATGGAAATGGCTCAAGGTTGTGAGAAAGGTGCTAGGTTTCAGGAAATGGCTGTCATGGTTCAGTGCAGGTGGGGGTGGGGTGGGGATTGGTGTCAGGTTGCAAGAATTGTATGGTGAGATCAAAGGCAGTGTCAGGGCCTAACTGAAGGTGCCGACAAGTGGTGTCATCCATGGAGCAGGTATGAAGTGTATATAGCAAAGGAAGTGTGTATGTATTTCTAATGGGAGAGGGAGGCTGGGGATCAGGGTCATGACTCAGGTTTAGAGTTGGTCCTAGGGCAGAGGTGAATACCACTGTTCAGATACTTTGCAAAAAGCTTCAGAAAGGAAAGCTCTGAGTTGCTAATCTCTGGCCCCACACACATATTGAAGGAAATGTATTCTTTTACCCTGCTCATTTCTCTGCCCCTCTATTCTTCCTTTGCTTACCAGGGGATTGTTATTCAGGGGATGAAAATCCTGACATCGAGTGTGCTGACTGCCCCATTGGTTTCTATAATGATCCACATGACCCTCGCAGCTGTAAGCTGTGCCCTTGTCGCAATGGGTTCAGCTGCTCCGTGATGCCTGAGACAGAGGAGGTGGTTTGCAATAACTGTCCCCTCGGGGTTACTGGTAAGCTGGAGAGCCTGCAGTGGGCCTGCTTCTTCCTGTCCTAACGCTGTGAATTTGTGTCATTAGCTTCTACTCCAAGCTGGTGGGGAAAATGAAAAAATTGCCATGGAGTCAATTTCAACTCTTTCAACTCATAGTGACCCCATGTGTGTCAGAGTAGAACTATGCTCCATAGGGTTTTTAATGACTCATGTTTGGCAAATAGATCACCAGGCCTTTCTTCCAAGGTGCCTCTGGGTGTAATTGAATCTCCAACCTCTCGGTTAGCAGCCAAGCACATTAACCATTGGTACCACCCAGGGACTCCAGGAAATCATAATTACTTAAGATTCATCTAAATGCCTTCATTCTAAAGATAAGAAAGATAAGAATATTGTGATACCTAAGAGGTAATGTGACTTGAGCAAAGGCAGAAGAGAAACATATAAAGCTGTTTCAGGAGGTCTGTAATTAATAGATGAAGAAAACAAAAAAATCAGACGAAATACACAGTTTAACTAGATGTTGAAAAATAAGCCAAGGTAAAGAAGGAAAACTTAGTGAGCTCCTAAATTTCAGCATCTGTCTCCTGATGAAATAATTAATTCATCAGCAGAACCCTTGGGGGTATTATTCTAAATCCCATCACTGATTGGCTCTTCCCAACCAGCTAGTTAACTGGAAGCAAAATGCTAAAATCAGTGGCCTACTGTGAGCACCTGCTCCTGGGAGTGTTACTGTGGGAGCAGAGGGAAGCATGTCTCCCTAGATGTTTTAGAGGATAACTTGTTACTTTGGGCCTCTGGGTCTAGTCTCATTGCCAGTGGATGTTAACTTGGGCTTGGCCATTGGTTTCTTCACAGGTGCCCGCTGTGAACTCTGTGCTGATGGCTACTTTGGGGACCCCTTTGGGGAACGTGGCCCAGTGAGGCCCTGTCAGCCCTGCCAATGCAATGACAATGTGGACCCCAGTGCACCTGGGAACTGTGACCAGCTGACAGGAAGGTGTTTGAAGTGTGTCCACAACACAGCCGGCTTCCACTGTGACCAGTGCAAACCTGGGTACTTCGGGGATCCCTTAGCCCCTAACCCAGCAGACAAGTGTCGAGGTAGGACTGTGTGTGTACATATAAGCTGCTAATCTTCAAGGGCAAACAGTTGATACCATTTTGATACTTTGGTTTCTCTGACCAACTGGTCTATGAACAGCCTGGACCTTTTGCCAGTCAAAGGCCTCAGACCACTTCCCCTCAGGTTGGGCTCTGGAAGGCGGAGTAAAAAGGTCAGGTTTACATTTCTAAGTGGAAGAGGAGATAAAATGGGTCAATCCTATAACCTATCCCAAGGCGGAGTCAAGGAAGTGGCTGCCAAACCTGCTGGGGGAGAGTCATAAATGACTCTGAGAAGAAGCCTGCACAAAACAAAGCTGGGCGATGAAGTAGTTGAAGAGACCCTATCAGGAAGTCAGTGATTGATGTATAGAAATTGATTGATGTATAGTAATTGATGTATAGAAAGATAACAGTCGAAAGTTCTCCTAATGAGATGGCTTCAAGGAGGCAGCTCTCAGGAAGCATTCCTAAGAGCAGCTACAGATCAAAGCATGAAGTGCTGGTCCATGCTCTTGCTCAACTCTTCTTGCAAATCTTGTCACAGGTTATATTCCAGAGGCAAACTCTGTTCTAGAGGAGCTAGCTTGCCTCAGATACTCACCCCTTAGCTGCAAAGTTCCCATTCGGGCCCTGGCACTCAGACCTGGCTAGCTTGTATATTATAAAGTCTGGAGTAGCTCTGAGAACTTAGCTTAGGGGACTTCTGGTTCCCCCAGGAGGTACAGAGTTCTGCAGGGAGCCCAGAGCCTACCACTCACACCAGAAACCTACCTCTGGAAATGCCTGAGGATCTCTATGCAAGCTGAGGTTCTACCAAGGGGCCAGGATCCTGGGGGTTCCTGGACTAGACCAGTCCTACTCCAACTCGTAGGTCATCTGTGCTAGAAAGCACCCCGTCATAGGAAGAGCCACAGCTGACAGCAGTAATCCTGAGTTCAAGTCCAGTTTTATAACATACTTATTACATTACATGGAATATGCCAACTAATCTCTCTGAAACTTCATTTTCTCTGATGCATGAATATTTAGCTCAAGGTATTCCCGAAAATAAAATAACACGAGAAAGAACATTGTAAACTCTTTCTATAATTCTAGCTATAAGGTATTACCAACAGGAATTTTACTGGCTTTACACCATAAATTTCTTCACTCAGCTATCATCTATCAAGTGCCTACTATGTACCCAGTGCAGAGCTAGATGCTGTGGTTATGTCATTCTAGCTCCTGAGGAGCTCATACTGTAATAAGGAAGACACACAAGTATGTATGCAAATAATCACAGTACAGTTAGACCGTAATAACTGTCTAAGTGATAATATTGCTATGTAGTAAGTATTTTGTGAGCACTAAAGATAGATTAGGAGCTCTGGTAGCATAGTGCCCAAGGTACTTGACTGCTAACCAGAAGACTGGCGGTACAAACCCACCAGCCACTCCTCAGAAGGAAGGTTGGGCAATCCTATTTCTGTAGTGATACTGCCTCAGAAACCCAAGGAGGGGTTGCTATGAGTCGGGGCCGACTCGACGGCATATAACAACAACAATACAACAAAGATAGAGCAACACAGAAGAATCACTGTAACTCCATTAGATCAACGTCTCATCCATTGTTATACCATTAGCATCTAGAATAGAACTTGACCTACAGTAGGTGCCCAATTGGTTTGATTGAATTAATGAAGATATTTCTTCCTTGCTACATTTCCTACATCAGAGTAGCACAGCAGAAGGACAAGAGCATAGGTGTTAAGGTCAGACAGACCCAAGTTCTCATTCCAGCTCAGCCATTTACTTGCTGTATAACTTAGGGCAAGTTATGCAACCTCTCTGAACTCACATTCTCATCTGCAAAGTGGAGAAGACCTTTACATCCACAATTCTGGCACATAATATACTCAGAAGAAACACTGTTTCCCTTGTGAGCAAAGCCAGAAGACCTGTAGAATATATAAGAGGCTTACAATTTAACAAGAGGAAAAAAGAAGTGTCAGAAAGAACAAACTGTTGTACTATCTCTTCATCCACACACACCAAACAAACTTGCCAGATGATTGATTCCTAAGACCTATCTGTATTAGGGATGTTCTTGGAGGCATAGGCAAGAGGTGAATCCAACATGTGATCAATCAACAAGGGCAAACAAGGATTCTATGCTGTCGGTGACTTTACCTTCCTTTGATCTCTGTCATGCCTTTAAATTCTGGAATTACCTTGCTGTGAATGTTCTCTGATTGTCTGTCTCTGGTCTCTAGCTTGCAACTGCAACCCGATGGGCTCAGAGCCTGTGGAGTGTCGAAGTGATGGGAGCTGTGTCTGTAAGCCAGGATTTGGAGGCCTCCATTGTGACCACGCAGCATTAACCAGCTGTCCAGCTTGCTATAACCAAGTCAAGATTCAGGTGCCTATGCCTGACTGAGCCACTTCATACCATTTCTCTAGCCCTGTGCAGAATTTAAAAATCCTTAAGTGTCTACTGAGTGGTTGTGTCATAGATTGAGGACTGTGCTAGTCTCCTGGGGGTAACGTGGTGACGATAGTTAATTTTTCTTCCTGTAATCATTAGTATATTTAAAAAAAAACCCAAACTGCTGTATAATAGAATAATACTTCATGTGTACACCACTTTCAGAAGTCCTTTTGTGGATACCATCTGTCCTAGTTACCTAGCACTGCTGTAACACACATAATACAAGTGGGTGGCTTTAAAAAAACTTATTTTTTTCACAGTTCTGGAGTCTAAAACTCCAAATCAAGGTCTCAGCTGTGTTCATTCTTAACTTGTAGGTAGTCTAGGCATCCTTGGTCCCTTGGCTTGTAAAGGGTCCTCTTTGGCTTCTGTCTTCCCCAGTTTGTATGCACATTTCTGTGTCTATTCTGCTCCTTTTTATAGCTCAGAGTGATTAGGTTTAGGACACACCCTACACTGGTATGGTCTCATTAACATAACAAAGAAAACCCTATTTCCGAATAGGATTGTATCCACAGGTACAGGGTTTAGGATTCCAACACATATACTTGGGAGATACAACTCAATCCGTAATACTATCTCATTTGGCATTCCTGAAAGCTTTGTTCAGTTGGGACAACTCAGTTTTAGATGAGCAAAGGCTCATCCGACCTCCGTTTTAGATGAGCAAAGGCTCAGAAAATTTGCAACTTTGCACAGTTACATGGCCAGGAGGAACCTGAATCTCATCCATGTCCCCTGACTCTGAGTTCAAGGCTGTTCCCACAATCATATGCCACTTTGCAGCTGGATTATTTTCTAAGAGACATCCTTGTGAACATAAAGGAAAACATGGAAATATAAAAGATATGAGGAGTCCAGAAGGTGTCAAGGCCATTCAAACCTTAGGGATGGTCTTTAAATTCCAGAAAAAAAAAAAAGATATTGTGGCTGCTGTTGGTTATTATTTTGCTAGTGTAAGAGGTGAGGATGGAAAAGGCCCACACAGGACCCAAATGTAAAACAAACTCAATCTGCTTTTTAACTTACCTATTTAACAAATCTTATATACTATTTTCTCTGTGCCAGGTACTCTTCTAAACACTTTGCAAATATTAATTCATTTAGTCCATGTAACAACTCTGTGAGATAGTATCATTATTATTCCTATTTGATGAATGAAGAAAGTGACACATGGTCACACAGCTACTGAGTAGTAGAGCCTAGAGCCAGGATTCAAACTCAAGTCTAGGTTCCAGAGTCTAAACTCTTACTGTGACATGCCAAGCATTTCTGAGCTTTCCCCTATTACTCTGGGTACCTGGTATTGAAATGTGGTCTCTACCATCTGTTCTGATCCTCTTTCCTGTATGGTTTCAGATGGACCAGTTTACACATCAGCTCCAGAGCCTGGAGGCCTTGGTTTCAAAGGCTCAGGGTGGCGGAGCTATACCCAATGCAGAGCTGGAAGGCAGGATGCAGCAGGCCGAGGAGGCTCTCCAGGACATCCTGAGAGACGCTCAGATTTCAGAAGGTGATCAATGACAAATTTCCTTCAGACAGGAGAGAATGCATGGTCCTAGAAAGAACCACTAAGCTATGTCATTGTCTTCTATGGGAATGAGTTCAGCGGATGTTTCTGCTCAGCCCTTGCAGGGGTGGAAGGATGTCTGTGACTTTTTCCTGGGATCAGAATGATGGAGATAAAAGAGCATTTGAATGCATTAACATCCCAGGTTTTCACCATTTTGCCATAAGTGAGGCAAAGTCCCTTTTCAACCCTCTGTTCTGCTGACCCAGAAAGTATTCATCCTCCCTTCCCTTCTGTGTTCTTAGGTGCGATTAGGTCCCTAAATCTCCAGTTGGCCAAAGTGAGGAACCAAGAAAACAGCTACCGGAATCGCCTGGATGACCTCAAGATGGCGGCAGAGAGAGTCCGGGCCCTGGGCAGTCAGCATCAGAACCGCGTCCAGGAGACCCGCAGGCTCATCACTCAGCTGCGCCTGAGCCTGGCGGAGAGTGAAGCTTCCCTGCGGAACACCGTACGTGTCTCTGGACGCCAGTGCTAAGATCCACTGCTGAGCCAGGAGACCCATCACAGATCTCCCAAGCTTGTTTTCTGTCTCTCAGGCTTTTTGGTGTGTCTGGCAGATCATCAGTCTTCTCTGCTTAAAAGAGAGGCTATTGCTTTATGTTCTTTGGCCTCCTGCAATTTACCGTCCATTGCTTTATGCTCCTCTCGTTGATTTATTTCTAACCACATCTCCATGTTGGCCCTGCCTCTTCTCTCTTCTTTTTGAATAATACCCTGGCGTGATAGCAATCCAGGAAGCAGGATTTAGTTTTGTTCATATTTGCATTCCTAACCCATGGTATAGTGTGTGGCTGTGGAAAATATTTGCTGCGTAAATGCATGCATGAGAAAGAGAGAGAGAGAGAAAGGAAAAAAGAGAGGAAGGAAGAAGAAAAAAGGAAAGGGAGGAAGGGTGAGCCAAATGAAGACATGGTTCTGAACATGGTAAAAACAATGGTTGCCAGTGTGATTTTCTTGGTGACATAGTTTGGTAGTGTGATAAGACAGAGAGATTTGATTGCCCAAAGCACAAACCTACAACCATTAAGTCGATTCACAATGACCCTATACTACAAAGAAGAACTGCCCCATAGGATTTTCAAGGCTATAATTCTTTATGGAAGCAGACTGCCACATCTTTTTCTCACCAAGTGGCTACTGGGTTTGAACCACCAACCTTTCGCTTTGCAGACGAGCACTTAACCACTGTACCAGGGCTCCTTAGATTTGATTGAATACTCTTTTATTTCTGAATAAAGAATGTAATGGTGACAATAATGTCAGTGCATGGGTACGAGATGGAAAAAGGAAATTGGAAGATAATCAAATACTATGTCGAGGAAAAAGAATGCTTAAAAAATGATGTGTATTGATTTTTTCACATCTTAAAAAAATTATATGTTTATTGTAGAAGATTTAGTAAATCCTTCAAATTCCTGTATGATTTAATTACTAAAATATGTTGTTGTTGTTAAGTGCCATTGAGTTGGACCCAACTCATAGCAACCTCTCCTTGGGTTTCTTATGTGGTATCACTACAGAAGTAGATTGCCCAACCTTTCTTCCAAGGAGTGGCTGGTGGGTTTGAACCTCCAGCCTTCTGGTTAGCAGTCAAGTGTCTTAAGCACTATGCTACTATTGTTGTTGTTGTTGTTTGCTGTCGAGTCGGCCCCGACTCATAGCGACCCCTCCTTGGGTTTCTGAGGCAGTATCACTACGAAAGTAGGATTGCCCAACCTTCCTTCCGAGGAGTGGCTGATGGGTTTGAACCGCCAGCCTTCTGGCACTGTTAATTGGAGATATAGATAGATAAATAGAT